AAAATATATCTTTATATATATATATATATATATATCTTTAATAAAATTTTTTTTTTTTTATATATATATTTTTTTATTTTTTTTTTTTTTTTATAATTTTTTTTTATTTTTTTTTTTTTTTTTTTTTTTTTTATTAATTTATTTTTATATATATATATATATATATATATATATAATATATATATATTTATATATATAGTTATATATTTATATATATATATATATATATATATAGTTATATATATATTTATATATATATATATATATATATATAGTTATTTATATATATATAAAAATAAATATATATAAATAAATGTTATAATTTTCTATATATAATGTTTCAAGTTCTTTTTACAAAACAATAATAAAAAATAAAATAATAATAGTATAAGCAAAATAAACGTTTTGCTAATAAATAAAGGTTTAAAATAAGCATTTTCTTTAGACAATCAGTTTAGACAAATTTGACAAAAAAATTTCGGAGAAGGTGGAGGGCCCGGAAGTGAAAAAGGTTGAAAACCCTTGATTTACAGTATCCAGAAGTGTAGTTGATTGTATTATTAAATTTTTGCAGCTGAGAACTGCTGTTAGATACATGAAAAACACTGTTTAGTACTATCTTTTGCTTGTAGATTTTATTCTATTCTATTTCTATTCGAAAGTCTGCTTTTTTACTGAACATATTAGATAGTTACACTAAGAGTTACAGTAATTACAGTAAACTAAATGTAAAAGAGATGCATATACACAGGTATTCTGACCCATCAGACTTTAAAAATCAAGGGAATACACCATTGACATCCATACCAAACCTGTTTCCAGATCTGCAGTAGAGATTAAACGAATGTTAAAGGGCACCTATTATGCAAAAATCACTTAATAAGAAGTTTAAACACAGTTGTGTTGCAGCAGTTTGTGAATATTACCAAATACTAAAATGTATTCTTTTATAATCACACATGATAAAAACAGTCTGCAGAAACACTTTGATTGACATTCTCACTTTGTACGTGTCATCAGAGAGGGAAAGCCCCACCCATTAGTGACCATTTCTCCCTCATTAGCATAGGACATTAGTCTTGTTTTTGAATCTGCCACTATGCTGACACACAGGCATTTGTAGCTCCCCCCTTTTTGTAAAGAGCACATTATTGGTTGTACAGATAAAACCAGAAGTTTACATACACTCTAAAAAAAGAAACATAACCATTTTTTTTTTTAAATGTCTGATGGTAAATCGTACTAAACGTTTACTATTTTAGGTCTGTTAGGATTACCTAAATGATTTACATTTGCTAAATGCCAAAATAAAGATTTTTTAAGCAATTTCTAAACGGTGAAAAGTTTACATACATTTCCGTGGCTTTTTTTTAATTTTATTTTTATTTTTTCAGCTTTGCTGTTAAACTATAACTTTGGTCAAATGTTTCGGGTATCCTTCCACAAGTTTCTCACAATAGTTTGCTTGAATTTTGGCCCATTCCTCCTGACAGAATTGGTCAGATTTGTAGGCTCTCTTGCTTCCACAAGCTTTTTTAACTCTGCCCACAGATTTTCTATAGGATTGAGTTCAGGGCTTTGTGATGGCCACTCCAAAACATTCACTCTGTTGTCCTTAAAGCACATTTTAACTAATTTGGCCGTATGCTTAGTGTCATGGTTTGTTTGGAAGACCCATTTGTGGCCAAGTTTTATTTTCCTGGCTGATATCTGTCTTGAGATGTTGCTTTAGTATTTCTACATAAATGTTATTTCTTCATGATGCCATAATGCTGTGAACTGGACCAGTCCCTCCTGCAGCAAAACAGCCCCACAACATGATGCTGCCACCCCCATACTTCACAGTTGGGATGGTGTTCCTAGGCTTGTAAGCTTTCCCAAAAATTCCAAAAATTAGTCTTTTCCCAGTGTAATTTAGCAAATTGTAATTCTGGCTTTTTTGTTTGATTCTGGCTTGTTGATTTTCCCATGTTGTCACACAAGGAAGCAGTGTGTTTGAGGTTTTCCCTAAATACTATTCTACAGTTGTGCCTCTAATTAACTCAAATTTAGCCACTCAGAAACTTCCAAAACCTTAATACCATCATCTGGGAATTTTCAAATGCATAATAATCTTATTGTATGTAAACTTTTGACTTTCAAGAAAAGTTATAACAATTTCTCCAAAAATATCTCTCTCATTATTCTGCTGTTAAATTTGATTATCCTTATTTACCTACGAGAGGGAAAGTTTAGTCACATTAACATCAGACTTTTTTTAACGGTTAAGTGCCTTTTTATACAGTGTATGTACACTTCTAAAAAGAATCAGAACATAAAAGGAAGTTTTGAAAACAAAAAAAATTTAGTATTGGACAATAAATAAATAAATAAAAATCAAAAAAAAAATCAAAAACCCAAAGCAAAAATAAATTTGGGAAAAGTAAAAATTTAAAAGAACTGCAAAGCGAAAATTCAAGTTCTGGGGGAAAAAAGGAAGTTTGCAAACAAAAAAAGAACTGCAAATATGAATCAAGCAGTGCAAAAAATAAAAATAAATAAATTCTTACAATAAAAAAAAAAAACTATATATATTTGCTAAATATTTTTGTCTTTACAAAACCAAACAATATAAAGGAACTTCTACGTTTATGGGCAGGTCCAGGCCTACTGGGCTGTAAGACCACCTCGGTAATACTGTCTCCAGGTGATTACATCACTTAAAAGGTTTGGGCCTGTCGGCGCCAATAGCCTAGTGCAGGGCTGTCAAACTCAATTCCTGGAGGGCCGAAGCCCTGCACAGTTTAGTTCCAACCCTGCTCCAACACACTTACCTGTAGGTTTCAAACAAGCCTGAAGGACTCAATAAGTTTGATCAGGTGTGTTTAATTAGGGTTGGAACGAAACCGTGCAGAGCTGCGGCCCTTTTGGAACTGAGTTTGACACCTGTGGCCTAGTGGTTAGTGCGTTGACACATAGCACCGAGGTGCTCGCAGCGACCCGAGTTCGATTCCCGTCTCGAGGTCCTTTGCTGATCCTTCCCCTATCTCTGCTCCCCACACTTTCCTGTCTCTATATCTCCACTGTCCCATCAATAAAGGTGAAAACCCCTAAAAAATAAATATATATAAAACAAAACAAAAAAAGGTTTGGGCCTGCCGTAAACACCCAAACTCCCTCGACTCCGCTCCCCTTGTCAAATCAGTGCCACAACGTGAAATGCGCAGACACGTGAAGTGCAAAGTCAAAACCGCATCGCAATTGACTGGATGAGTTAAGCCTGGTTTATACTTCTGTGTCAGGTGACCGGCGTAACCCACGGCGCAGGCAACGCGCGTGGCTGTGCATTTATACTGCTGCGCGCTGTCTCTGTTGGTCTGCATTAACACTTCCGAAACGCTAGTGGGCAGTGAGGTGTTAATGCTCCTCTGTGTCGAGTTTCTTCGCTGATGTTTTGCTTTTCCTGAACACTTCCGTGATGTACAAGTGGCTCAAACTCGCTCATTTTGAGGCAGGAACCGGCGGACGTGCAACAACTTTAACTAAGAGGTAAACAAAAAACAAAACTTTCCATCCGGAGCTCCTTCACGGGACTCCACACTTGTAAACAATCGCTCCATTGGGCTCGCGCCATTCGCGCGGCTCTCAGTCCCGCCCAGACACGTCAGCGCTACCAAGCCGACCAATCGCAGAGCTTGCGCTACGCGTCGTTGCGACGTGTAGTTACATTTTTTGAGAGGTGCACGTCAGTAACGGCGACGGCCACGGCGAAGGGCTATGCGTCAGCGCCGTAGCATACGCCGGTGTTTGACGCAGAAGTATCAGCCTTTATGCTTTAAAAAAGTTTTGCAAAAAAAAAAAAATAAATTCTTGCAAATATTTTAGGTTCTTTTTGTTTGCAAATTTTTATATCTCAAAACTTGATTTTCCCTTTGCAGTTCTTTTATTTTATTTTGCAAGTATATATGGCCCTAAATGGACTCCATAGCACATCTCATTTGAATTTAAAGTGACAGTCACCAAAACTCCACCATTAGGATCAAAGCCTGAAAGGAGAAAAATTAAAGAGTTATAAGACATTATTTAATGTGGTGAAACTTCACACACACACTCTCTCTAGGGACATCAGAGACTTCACATCTTGTAAAAATAAGCATAATAGGTCCCCTTTAAATAAGTGTGAAAATAGAGCTGAGGGGCTTCCAAGTGCTTTTTGAAAACCCTGGTTTACTGTTATGCCTTTTTAAAAATTTAATTAGGCCTAATACATTTTTTTCTCCATATTAATCTGCAAGTCATGTCTTTAAGTAAACCTCTTAGAAGTCGAAATGAGTTAGCGAATGCTCTTTCAGTTCATTTTGATACGAGAAACACTTTCCACAGTGCTGGCAGGACAAAAGCTTCTCTTCGGTGTGAATCTTCATGTGGATGTTTAGGTATCCTTTTCGGCAGAATTCTTTTCCACAGTGGTGGCAGGTGTAGGGGTTCACGTCGGCGTGAACTCTCATGTGGTCTTTGAGACTTCGGCTGTACCCAAAACTGGCTCCGCATTCAGCGCACGTGTACGGCTTCTCTCCGGTGTGAATCCTCATGTGGATTTTGCGAGTCTGCTTGTGCTTAAAGCTCACGCCGCACTCGCTGCATGTGAAGGGCTTCTCTCCGGTGTGAATTCTCATGTGGACGTCGAGTCTCGTCTTGTGCGTGAAGCTCATTCCACATGTGCTGCAGATGTGTCGGCATATGTGCTTTTTGAGGTTGTGTTTTCGACTGTATACCTTACCGCACTGTTTGCACGCCATCTCTCCGGTGTGGATTCTCATGTGGACCTTAAGGTTTTTTTTGCTACTGAAACTCCTTCCACAGAGTCGGCACGAGAAATCACTCTTTTGGTCTCTTTTTTCGGTCTCTGAGTCTTCGGTTTCAGTTTTGAACTCTTGTTCTTCCTTAATCTGCTCAGTCGGTTCTTCCTTTACGGCAGTCAGATCTGAGATAAAGAGACAAAACAATGACCGACGTTAAAACCAAGATGTTAATACTACCAAAACATCTGCTACCTCTAATCTTTAGTAGGGATGCACCAATCCCGATACTTGGATCGGATATCGGTTCAATACCGCATATTTTTTCTGGATCGGGTATCGGCCAATTGGTTCTTGCGCATGCGCTATATTCTGTGTAATTTATAGGCCAACAAAAGCCACGAAGGTAGCCTATTATAAGGCACTAGAAAGTAGTCATGTAGGCTACTATATCTCAAATGTTCTGAAGCCATTTTATAGTTTAACGTGAAGCACAGATGAATGTTCAAGTGCTTAAATTCATGTTCAGTTCAGCGCTTCTCTCCGCTGCGCCTGTCAATCATTCTTCATTCATTCGCAATTCAAACTCCACGTTCATGACAACACAAGAAACTCTCTAAGACTTATTGTTCCTGTTAATACAAGTACCGTATTTTCCGCACTATAAAGCGCACCGGATTATAAGACGCAGTCTCAAATACGGGGTCTATTTCTGCACTTAACCCATACATAAGGCGCACGCTAAACTACACTGTCTGCAAAAAAAAAGGTAATGGAAGCAAAACAGTTAACATATTTTAGTTGAACTTTATTGTACTATTTAACAATACACTCACATTATTATTATTTTTTGAATCAGTCTTCTTCCACAAATCCATCAAAGTCCTCATCTTCTGTGTGTGAATTGAACAGCTGGGCAGTTTCATCATTGTCGTAGTCAGTCTCATTGCCGGGTGGCTGTTCAGCAATGATGCCGGCTTTTGCGAAAGCTCGGACAGCAGTTAAAGCAGACACCTTAGCCCAGGCATCCACAATCCATTTACATATGGTGGCGTAACTCGCCCGGTGCTGCCTACCAGTCTTAGTAAAAGTGTGTTCGCCGTCTGTCATCCATTGCTCGCACGCAGCTCGCAACTTCACTTTAAACGCCCTGTTTACAACAATATCCAGCGGTTGGAGTTCTTTTGTTAGTCCTCCCGGAATGACAGCAAGCTCCGAATTTATTCAAGTTGGTTTCCTAACTCTGGCCACCTTGCTTTGTTCCCGCGGAAACTCTGTTTTGTCTTCTTAACTTGGCGCAGTTCATTTTCTTGTGTCCTCCACTTCCGAACCACAGATTCATTTATGTGGAATTGTTTCGCAGCTGCTCTATTCCCATTTACAACCGCGTAACTAGTAGCTTGTAGTTTGAATTGTGCGTCGTAAGCATGTCTCTTCACTGGTGCCATTTTCGGGGATCATTAGACAAACATATGTGGTTTTGATTGATTTATTGCTGCTGCATACGGAGTGTACGTTTTACGTCTCTGTGTCGGCGGGAAATGCTCCGACAGCCAATCAAGCGGAGCGCTTTTCGAAATCACACAACTTTTTTTTTACAGATTTTTGAACTCCGTGCACACATAAAGCGCACCGGATTATTAGGCGCACGGCCGTTTTATGACAAAGTTTAAGGCTTTTAGGTGCGCCTTATAGTCAGTGGAGAAAAAGTTTTGCATTAAATGGGTTCATTTTGACCTGAAACAAGGAGTTCATTGCTGTTTCTAAATCATGTTGCGCTGTTAGATCAGCAGATTGCATTCGCAACACTGGAGTAGAGAGGGTTATTACCTGCTCTTCACACCCAAAGTAGGCCTACCTTGAATTTTAAATGAGAAAAGACTCAATAACACATTGGACAGATCCTCAACGCACTGTTTTTTCCCCCTTTGTGACCGCAGATACCGGAGGGCTCTGCGCTGTCTCAGTGATGCATCAAGCTCTTCGTTCACGCGCCGGCTGCACAGACTAATACATTATTCTCACAATAATTTTCTGTTCTCTCATCCTTTCGACTGCAAATAGTTTGTAAAGCCTGGCTCATTGTGGTCAAAGTAGCTGATTAAATGAATAAAAGTGAAACTTACGGTGCAATATGGATGGTCATCAACAGAAAATGATTTAGCAGAATATAGGCTACTCTGTGTAATATTTCAGCCATTTTATATATATCAACATTTTATTTTAGGGTGTCCGCGAGGTCTTATAAAGTAGATAAATCAATTATGAGAAAATTAAGGCTCTTAAAAGGTATCAAAAAATCTTAAATCTTGTTTTTACAAGGTCTTAAATTTTGTTCAAGCGGTGACCAGTGTGTTTTACTCCAAAAAAGTTTGAATATATATATATTTTCTATTATTAACAAAGACATGCTTGATCCATGTGATTGATTTGGGCTGGCTCCTCCATCCGGGTGATGTCACGTAATTTGCGTCAAACGCAGGAAGGTGCTGTGACGCTCTCCACATGTAACGAAACCATCGAGCGAAACAGATGGGAAAATGTAAATTTGCAAACTCCTGGTTGAAGAAAGACGAGTTTAAACAGTGGCTGAAGCCTGTGTCTGAAAACAGCAGCGTAATTTATTTTTTCAAGCTTTGTTTCTTCTGTGCTTATCCGAGTTCTGTTGCACCTTTATGCTCCATTGATTTATTTGACTACAATTGTTTATTAACAACTGTTTATAAAGTTAAAGCAGGGCTATTCAATTAGTTTGTCATAAGGGCCAGATCATGAAGAGCCTCCCAAATGAGAGGTGGGAGAGATATGACTTGCAATATGAGTGATGCCACGGTTCCCAATATAATATTGAACCGTACGGTACGACCTCCACGGTTCAATACGCGCTTGTAAATAGCTGTTTTCTCGGTTTTGCGTTTAAATAATTTATGTGCGCTTTATATCACAACAGTGTATAAGAGCCCATATGCTGTATTTTTGCTCCTTAAGACCCCCACGTTGGCTTTTTCTACATTAAAATGTTAATATTTTAAAACTACATAAGTATCAGTGCATAGTAAAAATAGGCTTTTTTTTTACAAACATATTCAAGTGTTGTATTTTTAAAGCACAACAAAAGCAGCGCATTGCTCAAGTAGACTTCTACACTAAGACACGTTCATATGTTATGTTTTAAACTGCATAACGGTAGAGCTGCAACGATATTGGTTGTACGATTATAGTCTGAAGAATAATCATGGTTTCACGATTATCACGTCTAATGTAAATTTAAGTATTTAGATTAACTGTTACCATCTGCGTTCATACAAAAATAATCAATTTAATAATAATTAGTCTAGCATATCTTTTGTTTATGTTGCACTGAATGGCACGCACAACTCTCACCGCTACAGCGCCAGATGTTTTTTACTGAGTGCGGCCGAAAAGCCACGAGCGCGTTGCTCTGCTTGTGCGCGCATATATTCCTACATTAGAAATAAAAAACTTGCACGCGAAAAGACGCGATATGTGAATGACCCGCTGCTATAGTTGATCCAACGTGCCTGCATATTGCCCTCGGTGTACAAGCTCAGAACGTTAAACAAGCGTACAGTTGGCATAACTTTGTTTAGTTGCAGCAGTTTTGTTCTGTGCTAAAGAATTTACAATTAATTAACCGTGACAAATTAAAGTGCAGTTCATCGGCTAATCGTTGCATTCCTAATATCGATATCAGTGCATTTTACAAAAGGCCTTTTCTACAAACATTTTCAAATGTTTTCGGCTGCCCGCGCCACTCGCTTAATGTCCCTGAACCTGTAGAGCAGGGCTGAATTGGCAGCCCGTAGGCTGAACCCGGCCCCCGAGGCAATTTGTTTCCACTCTCCAAATAGTGAGACCAAGACATCAAAAATAAATTTAGTTCAGTCGAAAAATAGCTACTATAGCTATGAAGTGACGTGCGTCTGTTCAATACAGCACAAGCTGCAGTTGAAGGAGAGCGTGACTCACCTGACATTAAGAGAGCGCGGGCAGCCGAAAACATTTGGATATGTTTGTAGAAAAGTCCTTTCGTAGAATGACACTGATATTGTTAATAGGGACGCACTGATTAGCCGATTTCACTATTAACCGCGCTTTAATCGTAAAGGCTTCTCAACTCCGCGTTTCTGTTGCACTGAATGAAACTGCTGCAACTAAACAAAGTTATTATGCCACCTGTGCGCTAGTTAAAAGTTCCGAGCTTGTACACCAAGGCTAATACGCACGCATACAGGATTGACCATAGCAGTGAGCCGTTTACATATTGCGTCTTTTCCGCAAACAAGTTCATTATTTTCAATGGACACGTGTGCGCACGGCTTGCAAGTGGACCTCCAGGTTCACTCACGCTGTAGTAGTGAGAGTTGTGCGAGACCTTCAGTGCAATGTAAACAAAAGATACGTTCGACGAATTATTACAAATGATTAAAATGATTATGTATGTATGAACGCAGATAATAACAATAGTTCATGTAGCGGCTTTCCAATTGCCGCTACTGTTGGTAGAGTGAGCAGTTTTGTACGAGTAAAAAATCAAAGTCCGTAGGCAAAATAGATGCAAATAAAAACGTCTTTATTTTCCAATCAACAGAATTACTTATTCACTTTCCTTAATATATATGCACACTTCTCTGTTACCTTGAGTTGCGTTACGTTACGCTCAGTTACGATCAAAAACTGTGTGCTTCCTACCAACACTGTCTCATGCTGTGTTCACACCAGACGCGGAACGCCCGGATAAATAGCGCTATTCGCGCGTAAATAGCCGCGTGAACATTTGAGTTTACTCGCTTCATTCGCGTGTCAAATTCACATCAGAACAGACGCGGATTCGCGTGATGGGCAGGGCTTCTGTCTGCCCAGTGACTCTAGCTTCATTGCTAAATGGCTAACATGGATTTTATGAAGAAAATAACAGTGTTTATGTGCTTTATGAAGACTGAAAAACAGCGTTGATACGTTTAGGGTCGTGTCTGAGTCCACTACATCCTTTCAGAGGTGCATCCAGCTCTGTGAGCTCATAAACTCCTCCAGAAATTGAACCTGGATGACGGAGGCTTTCAGCGGTGCTTCTGACTGAGCCCAGCCCAGTTTGATGAACTGTTGACGGTGAAGGCTGGAGGATTTCCCTCGGAACACCGACAACAGGTTCTACGTCACAATC